CATATTACTTAAAATTTAAGATTACAAGTAAATTATGCATAAATATAACTTATTAAAGCTCCATACTTGAATTCGTCTAACTAACTGCAGATAAACATAATCAAATATTTTTATTTTTGAATAAAATATAAAATTGAAGATATCATAAAATTTTGACATAATAAATTGATATTAGTATCAAATTAACTATTTAAAATTCCTATTTTTTGTATTTTTAAGTCAATTTTTTTATTATAATATAATTTTCTTATAAAGATACTAATTAATTATTTTGTTAAAATTCGATAATTATCTTAATTATATTTTATATTTTTTATATTTTAAAATGAGATGTTTATCCTCTATTTGCTTATATTTATCCGCAAACATGAAGCTTTAATAAGTTATATTTATGCATAACTTACTTGTAATTTTGAATTTTAAGTAATATGCATCAATATACAATAATTCATGCATAAAAAATGGTTTTTAAAAGTTTTTGTCAAATGTTTTATAATATAGTATAGATTCTAGTTAATTAAAACAACCACTACTAAAAAGTTTGGTTTTTCCGACGGCAAAATCCGTCGGAAAAACAACTATCCTACAGATTTTGCCGTCGAAAAAACCCCCGCCGCTAAATGCATTTTCCGACGGAATTTCCGGCGGATTTGTATTTTCCGACGAAAATATCCGTCGGAAATCCGTCGTGCAATTTTATAATATGTTATCCATTGCTCGGGTTAATTAGAAGTAATATAAAATGGAATTAGATTTACCGACGGAATTTCCATCGGAAATCCGTCGGTAAACTTTTTCCATTTTCTTCCAAAATAATAACCGGTTTTTATTTCAAAAACAAAAATAGCATTTTTCCGATGGATTTCCGACGGAAATTCCGTCGGTAGTTATATTTTAAAACTTTTTTCCTAATTTAAAATATGAAAACATTTTTTATTTTTAATGGAATGAAAATATTTACCTACGGATTTTCCATCGGAAGTCCGTCGGAAATCCGTCGAAAAATCCGCCAGAATTTTTTTAAATAAAACTTATATCTAATTATTTACCGACGGATTTTCCGCCAGAAATCCGTCGGAAATTTAGCTGGTACAGGAAAAAAAACCAAAAAACCAAAATATAAAATTCTAAAATATAAAGATCATGTAATTAAATACAAATATACAATACACAAATATGTCATAAATACCTAATATGATTATCCGGACGAAATATTATACATATATAAATTCGATTGATAACGCTAGTTCACAAATACACTATATTAAATCTATTGCGGCGGGGTAGGCGGAAACTATTGAGATTGTGTAAACCTCTTCATCATATCCATCATGTCTGCATGCTCTTTCTTCCGGATCTCATCTTCCCTGTTTCAGATCTCATTTCGGCGAAGAAGTTCCTCAATCTCCTTCTGTCGGATCTCATCTCGAGTATGCATTTCTTGAATTTGGGATTGTAGGTTGTTAATTAACTACAAATACAATAAAACGTTAAAATTTCTAATAAGTATAAATGAAATAAATAAACATCAAAGGATAAAGAGGTACACACCTGACTATCTACATTAGGCGATCCACTCGAATTTGCTTGTGGTTTAAAAAAATACTACCAGTCAATTTCGGCAGCTTAACGACTGTAAATGAAATGTTTCCAACTAAAACAATCCTAATATTTGTCCAACAAATGACAACCCAAACTATATATATATATATATATATATATATACATTCTAACTTAAACAATCATAACGTTTGCCCAACAAATGGCAACCCAAACTAGATAGAAATATATATCACACACACATACACTAACATTTTAACTTAAATAATCCTAACGTTTCTCCAACATATGACAACCCAATATAGAGTTTGAAGTTATATATAGGTATTGTAAACTTACCGCAACCCGGCTACACCTCGAAGTCACGTACTCCCCTCGTGACCCGCAACCTAAAGATGACTCTGTATTCGACCTCTTCTTATGCGTGTGATCGAAGAGTTCCAAAGCGGACGGTGGCACGCCATTTTTTGCCTTCGTCTACATAGTAGCAAGTAATAAAAAATATGTTAATTGTATCATATTAAAAATCAAGCTACTAAAGTAATCGATATTAAATCCAAAAATCCAACTACTTCGACACTGAAAACTGAACTTAAGTTCCCATTCCTATCTAATCGTTTATACATCCATCATCTATTGGTATTAGTCGACATAGCTACAAAAAATATGCATCAAACTTAATATCATTAAAGTCTATAAAAAATATATATATCTTTATAATTATAGATTGAATCATTACCATTTGATTTAAAGTAAATTGTAGTTATAAAAAATAAAGAGATGCAAGTTAAATTTAGGTGAAAGATTCCTTGTGCATGAGTTGGAATTGAAACTTGAAACCATAACCTTAACCTACAAGGCTCTTATCAAAATAGCCAAAAAGATATACAAATGTTTTTTTATTTTTTTCCTAACAAGATATATATATATATATAGACTTGGGATCATGTGAGACCAAGAGTTTTTCATGAGACCCGTAAGACCAATTCTCAACCCTTGGATTAGATCTATAATCTCAATATTTATAATCACAAAATTGTAACGAGATTTCTCAATAATTACAAAATTGTCACCGTACAACTTTAAACCATTAGATCATTAGCTTATAAAGTTGATCAATGAACATAAATTGGTCTCACGGGTCTCACGAAAAACCTTTGGTCTCACGTGAACCCAACCCTATATATATATATATATATATATATGTTTAAAATTTCTGACGTATTTCCGATGGAATTTACTTTTTTTAAACAAAAATTAAATTCCGTCGGAAATTTTAAAAGGAAAAATGTTTTTATTTTTATTTTTTTCTTACAAGATATATATAGAGTATAGATATATATATGGGAAAAGTACAATAAAAACCAATGAACTTTCTTGTTTGGAATGATTAAGTCCTTGAACTTTTTTTTGGAACAAATAAGTCCTTGGACATTCCAAAACATGTTAAATAAGTCATTGAACAATTTTTTGGAACAAATAAGTCCTTGGACATTCCAAAACATGTTAAATAAGTTCTTGAACAATTTTTTGGAACAAATAAGTCATTGGACATTCCAAAATATGTTAAATAAGTCCTTAGACATTTCAAAAAATGTTAAATAAGTCATTGGACAATTTTTGGAACAAATAAGTCATTGGACATTCCAAAAAATGTTAAATAACTCCTTGGACAATTTTTGGAACAAATAAGTCATTGAACAATCCAAAACATGTTAAATAACTTCTTGAACTTTTATAAAACATGTTGGATACATTCTTATGACTTGTACAACTAGTTAAAATGATAATTATTTTTTTGTAAATGTAAGTACTTTTTTGTTATATTTGTTTAATTTTATAGATCTAAATACTTTTTGGTTCAAAAAATATTTAGGGGMTTAATCGTTCAAAATAYGAATGTTCATTGRGTTTTTTTCCGGATTTTTTTCACTATTTTACCACTTTATTTTTTTCAARAAGTTATTTAACATRTTTTGGATTGTTCAATGACTTATTTGTTCCAAAAATTGTTCAAGGACTTATTTAACATTTTTTGGAATGTCCAAGGACTTATTTGTTCCAAAAATTGTTCAAGGACTTATTTAACATATTTTGGAATGTTCAAGGACTTATTTAACATGTTTTGGAATGTCCAAGGACTTATTTGTTCCAAAAAAAAGTTCAAGAACTTAATCATTCCAAACAAGAAAGTTCATTGGTTTTTATTGTACTTTTCCCTATATATATATATGAAGGTTTAAAATTTTCGACAGATTTCCGACGAAATTTATTTTTCTTTAAATAAAAATTAAATTCTGTCAGAAATTTTAAAAGAAAAAAATGTTTTATTTTTTATTTTTTTCCTAACAAGATATATATAATGGTTTAAGATTTCCGACGGCCCGTCGGAAATCCGTCAGAAATTTTAAAAGAAAAAAATGTTTTATTTTTTTCCTAACAAGATATATATATATATATAAAGGTTTAAAATTTCCGACGGAATTTAAATTTTTTGATTTTTTGAATAAAAATTAAATTCCGTCGGAAATTTTAAAAGAAAAAAATGTTTTTTTTTCCTAACAAGATATATATAGAGAATAGATATATATATAAAAGTTTAAAATTTCCAACGGATTTCCGACGGAATTTATTTATTTTTAAATAAAAATTAAATTCCGTCGGAAATTTTAAAACAAAAAAATGTTTTTTTTTTAATTTTTTTCATAACAAGATATATATATATATATATATTTATATATATATATATTATAGATATATATATAAAGGTTTAATTAGCGTTAATCAAAAACATTTTCCGACGGATTTCCGACGGAATTTGATTTGTTTTTATTGTCGAAAATCCGTCGAAAAATGTTTTTGATTAACGCTAATAAATTTTTTTAAATAAATTAGACAACTTTTGTGACGGTTTTGAATAAGTAAAAAATCCGTCACAAATCCGTTGAAAAACCGTTTTAAATAATTTTAATTTTTTTTTCCAAAAAATTCAGTGGGGGATTTGTGGGGATCTGTGGCGAATATGGATAAAAGTTGACTTTTTTAGGATCCATCGGAAATCCGTCGGAAATATTTCCGACGGAAATTCCGCCAGAAAAATCCGTCGGTGATACTTTTTTTTTTAGTAGCGAACATCATATACAATAATTTATCTGATAAGCACTAATAAACGCTAACCGGATAAGATTTTTGGTCCTTATCATCTCTCTCACCACGTAAAATTCTGAGTCTTTGTCATATACATCCAGGTTAAGTAAAATAGTAAATGCGTAATTAAATGGGGATGGGAAGAAGTTACCATCGACTTTCTTGGAAGCTTCAAATGCGAAGAATAAAAGTTGATGAGCGAACTTGGTATATAAACGCCCATTGGCACATTCAGAAAGGAAACTCATTCCATTCCGTTCCATCTCATCAATCACTTTTTTAGGGTTTTAACAATGGTTAATGAAATCCAACCACACGACTTTGGAATTATGCTTTACAACATAAGCACCACCACCCTCACCAAAGCTCAAAAACGATGGCGTCTTGCATACTTCACCATTCATTTCTCCAACACCCTCATTTCCATCGCCAAAAACCTCGTCGTTGTCTCCAACAAGCTCCCCATTTCCCAACTCATCCCTTCCCCTAATTCCTATTCCATCGTTGAAATCATCCCGCCTAAACCGGACCCCGATTCGTCGGGTTTCTCCCGTGTTAATCACGTGCACCTCGTCGAGACGGTGAAGACCAAAGATTTGAAAAAGCTACACAAGTTGGGTGGGGTCGAGGGTGTGGCGGAAGCTCTCGAAACAAATCTCGACAGTGGAATAAACTGTCGGGATTTGAACGAAAGGAAAAGCATTTTTGGTTCGAATACTTACGAAAAACAACCTCCGAAGGGGTTTCTTTTTTTCGTGATCGAGGCTTTTAAAGACACGACCATTGTTATATTACTGGGTTGTGCTGCTCTTTCGCTTGGATTCGGTATCAAAGAACACGGAGTCGAAGAAGGATGGTATGAAGGTGGCAGCATTTTCATTGCAGTTTTTCTGGTAATCGTTGTATCCGCAATTAGTAACTACAAACAAGAGATCCAGTTTGATAATTTGTCGAAAATAAGCGATAATATCAAGATTGACGTTGTTAGGGAAGGGAGGAGGCAAAATATATCGATCTTTGATATCGTAGTTGGAGATGTTGCGATTCTGAATATTGGAGATCAGATTCCAGCAGACGGGTTGTTCGTAGATGGGTATTCGTTGCTGGTCGATGAATCGAGCATGACGGGCGAGAGTGAAAACATAAGCGTTGATGCCGTCACTAACCCATTCTTGTTCTCGGGTTCTAAAGTGGCAGACGGGCATTGTCGGATGCTTGTGTTATCAGTCGGGATGAACACGGCTTGGGGAAGGATGATGAGCTCGATAACGGGTGATTCTAACGAGCAGACGCCATTACAAGTTCGTCTCAACAAACTCACTTCTTCCATCGGAAAGGTAGGCCTTGCAGTCGCTTTCCTAGTTCTTGTCGTTATGTTAATTCGTTATTTCACCGGAAACACAGAAGACAATGACGGTAAACGAGAGTACAACGGGAGACGCACAAATATAAGCGAAGTATTTGATTCCGTTACACGTATCTTCTCGGCGGCAGTCACCATTGTGGTGGTGGCAATCCCCGAAGGTCTGCCGCTAGCCGTCACCCTCACTCTTGCGTATTCCATGAAAAGAATGATGGCGGATCAGGCGATGGTTAGAAAGTTATCCGCCTGTGAGACCATGGGTTCGGCCACTGTTATATGCACCGATAAAACGGGCACTTTGACTACGAATAAGATGACGGTCACGAAGTTCTGGCTTGGCCTTGAGTACATAGAAAAAGATTCTTCCGATGTAATAGCCACGGACGTCCGTGAACTTCTTCACGAAGGAATCGGTTTGAATACTACAGGTACAGTTTTCAAATCGGGTTCAGATTCTGTTCCTGAATACTCTGGCAGTCCAACGGAAAAAGCGATGTTATCGTGGGCTGTTGCGGATTTGGACATGGATATGGAGAAACTGAAACAAACTTCAACTGTTCTTCATGTTGAGACCTTCAACTCGAAGAAGAAACGAAGTGGGATTTTGATTAGGAGAGTGGCGGATAACGACATGAATGTGCACTGGAAAGGAGCTGCAGAGATGGTACTAGCAATGTGTTCAAAGTATTATCAGAGCAACGGGTGCATAAAGACAATAGATTCCGATGAAAGAACACAACTGGAGAATATAATCGAAGGAATGGCAGCAAGTAGTCTCAGATGCATTGCTTTCGCGTATAAGAAGGTTTTAGAACATAAGGAAGATGGTGCGGTTTATCGAACGCTAAGTGAAGAAAGGTTAACTTTGCTAGGGATTGTTGGCCTGAAGGATCCATGTAGACCAGGAGCCAAGAAAGCTATAGAAACTTGCCGGTCTGCCGGAGTCAACATCAAGATGATCACTGGAGACAATGTTTTCACGGCAAAAGCCATAGCCACGGAATGCGGAATACTGGAAGTCAGTCAACAAGATTGTGAAGGAGAAGTGGTGGAAGGTGTAGAGTTCCGGAATTACACAGATGAAGAGAGAATGCGGAAAGTCGACAGTATCAAAGTGATGGCAAGATCTTCCCCATTCGACAAGCTTCTGATGGTTCAGTGCTTGAAACGGAAAGGTCATGTGGTTGCCGTCACTGGCGATGGGACCAACGATGCACCAGCACTCAAAGAAGCAGATATAGGGCTTTCAATGGGGATTCAAGGCACCGAGGTGGCGAAACAAAGCTCGGATATCGTCATCTTAGATGACGATATTGCCTCCGTTTCGACCGTATTGATGTGGGGTCGGTGCGTATACAACAACATCCAGAAGTTCATTCAATTCCAACTCACGGTAAATGTTGCAGCTCTTGTTATCAACTTCATTGCAGCGGTTTCTAGCGGTGATGTTCCGCTAACAGCAGTCCAACTGTTGTGGGTGAATCTAATCATGGATACTTTGGGTGCTTTAGCACTTGCCACAGAACGGCCAACCAATGAACTCATGAACAAGCCACCAGTGGGTAGAGTCGAGCCCCTCATAACAAACATCATGTGGAGAAACCTGTTTGCCCAATCTCTCTACCAGATAATAATTCTATTGACCTTCCAGTTCAGGGGTAAGACAATCTTTAATGTGAACGAGAGCGTGAAAAACACGATTATCTTCAACATTTTTGTTTTCTGCCAAGTGTTCAACGAGTTCAACTCGAGGAAGCTGGAGAAGAAAAACATATTCAGAGGTATCCATACAAACCGATTGTTTCTTGGAATCATCGGGATGACGATCATTCTTCAGGTTGTGATGGTGGAGTTCCTAAAGAACTTTGCCGACACGGAGAAACTGAATGGAATGCAGTGGGGAATCTGTATTGCGATTGCAGCTCTATCATGGCCTATCGGATGGATTGTGAAGTTGATCCCAGTACCAGATAAACCATTTCTAAACTACATAAGGCACTAGCTTAAACCAAGAAGGATATGAGGTCCGATTTTGGGTTGCAGGTTGCCTGCTTTGCACCTTTTTTTCAGCTCAACAAAGGAATTCTCAGAAGATCACTCCTATTGTTTTTGGTTCCTATAACTATATCAAGTTTATAAGTTAATTTATGTTATCTCCCTTGTATTGACCTGCATATATATCTATTCTATACTACATTAATAACCATTTAAACAAAAGTCTTAAGTACAAGTCTTAAAACATAGATTACTATCATTTTGTGCAAGAATTCAAAAATGTCTTAATTACAAATTATTTTGCACAATGTACAAGTYTTTTATGCAAGGATTTCCACAACACCAAATCCTTAAGGGAATGCTTCAGAGCGTGCTTTTTCTTACAGACTTCTAAATTTCTGCGTATCTGATCTCAAGCGCCAAAACAAATCTAGATTAGATAGAGTTAGCTTTCTTCTTTCACAGACCTCGAATAGGTAACAATGGTGGTTTTGATGTATCACCTTGATCAACTTGTAGATCTGATCGAACAGATTTCTTCTCAAACAGTCTTCAAAACCGATTTGATGTATCACAAACTCATCTATACATATAACCCCCTCCTCCCTGATGTTGTTCTTCAAAATAGATTCAAGACTAAATCATTTTTTCACACTCTCCTTCCATCGCTCTCCATCGATTCACTACTGTGTTGATTCACTATCTTTCTGATCCAGGTAATTTATTTTTGTTTCCTCTTTTTGTTGTTGTTTCTTCCTTCTGTGTGTTGATTCCTTTTCACTTCTGTTTTTTCTTTTTGTCTCCTGTGCTTAAAAGGTGTTTGAGGAAATGCCTCAAAGACGTTTATTTTGTTTACATATTTTTTTTGTTTAGGTTGTTTAGAGCTTGTTAGTTGCAGTAATAGTTGGGAGGTTTATTTTGGTTACATTTTTTTGTTTAG